TCAGCTGATGGGCTCGTATGAAACATAAGGGAGATCCTGGCGTTTTTTGTCCAGATAGGGAAGTCTTAGCCTATTTCTTTTTAACAAGAGGTCTTTGGGAGGTCCGCCCTAATACACACAAGCCTCTGACAGGGACATGTTGAGATTCCCTGAAGATGCAAAGCTGCTGATTCGTTCGGAAATTCGGCCCAAAACGTTTCAAGCTATACTCCCTGAAGTAATCGTGGAAGTGGTGGATGACAGCGCCCCAACAGCATGACAAAACGGAGTCGCTCAGCCGCTCAACCGCCCGACCGCTCGAGCGCACCTAAATGCTCCTTGGTGCTGACTCGGCCCATTCGGCTGCCAGGGCCTAAATTCCCGGTTTAGATGCGATGTTCGATGATCCACATAGATCTTTGTGATACCTTTGATACCAAACATGCAGCGACCACGTGACCAAATCAACCATCAAAACACTCAAAGTCAAGGCTGCCCCGGAGGCCAGTCTTCATCTACACACCAAAAGTCAAAAAGCCCCTGAGCACTCACCAGTTGACCCGAAGAGCAACTTCAATCGACGCCAAGAACTTCCCCCTACTATGGCTTGTTGTTGCTTTTATAGGGAGACCCCCGAGGCCCGGTCATGACGGCGTGTTTTTTTGAAACGAAAGACAGGTCGGTCGACCCTCACTGGGAGGTCGATCTCCCTATTCTTTTTCGCGACACAACTTAAGAAGTCTTAATAAACATCAACTTAACACCAAATGTCTTTATCGATCTCCCTATCTTTTTTCGATCTCCTTATCTTTTTCTTTCATAATCTCACTTAACACCAAATTCGATCAGCGCAGTCACTTCGGTCACCCGCTTCCGACGGCACACTGAGGAGACGACTTGTTGGACGAATGGACTTTCTCGATTCCGCAGGTGCTGGGAGCGTATCCAGTCGCCCGTCCTGCGCCCAAGAAAGAAACGGTACCTGACGGTACCTGAAATCAAAGGCTATGCGGCTATGTGAGCTTCGTTTGGCAAAGGCTGTGGAGCCCAGTGCTGTGCTGGTCTGTTGTGTGGCCACGTGGCTTGAGGCTCAGTCAAGCAAGGCTGGCCTGTTGCAGCTGCCATTGCTCGATCTTCTCTAGCCGCCTTAAACAAAACAAAGTGCATGAAAAGTGCATCGCGCGGCCTTGTTATATAGATGAGTTAGATGAAGTATCCACGGGTCTAGAAGCCTAATTTGACACAACCTGTTCTGGGTGTTTTCAGTTTCATTGTGTGCCATGCACCCAAACTCGCACACCCTCAGCGTGAAGAGAAGCATCTCCTCTCCTAAAGCTGGGGACATGCTGGGATCCATGCTTGCCATACTCCTTGAGGAGCTCTTGCAGATTGATCTCCACCTGCATGCAAGACCGCCAGCGGCCGCCAGCACCGCTTCCATTCGGTCGTGCCACGTGCCGCCAGCACCGTGTGCCACGCGCCGTGTGCCCGTGCCGGGTGCCTTGAGGGGCGAAGTCTCCTCCGCTTCGAGGTCCTGCAGCGAAGTCCCAGGGACTCCCCACGGTGACACATCCGAGTCCTCCGTTCGATTACGTAAGAAGTGCTTCAAGAGACCGGTGAATAAAGAAACATGAAGAAACACCCGCCGATTTCTAAGAGTGGCAGGTATAGCTTCCTTGTCCCAAAAAAACACATGTCTTGGTTGCTTCCCCAAGAAGAAAGCCTCTGATTTTGGTCTACCGAGGACAGAATCGGCCACAGAATCGGCCACATCCTGCATTCCCTTCACCAACTGTTTTGCATGGACGGTCAGTGACTTGGGGTGCTCCTAAACCGAGCGCATGTGCGGTTTAAATTCCCCTCGAGACGACAGGTCGCCCTGGAGTCCACAAACCTGGAGCGAGGGAGGTGCTACGTGGATCAGTGGATGGTAGGGGATGGTAGGGCCGTTCGGCGAGTTCGGTGTCAACCAGGGTGCCGGAGTCTTGACCCCAAGCTGTGTGTTTATTTGGTTTCATGAAAGCGTTAAAAACACGGCACCAAATGCAGCCACGTGGCGATATCAATGGCCGGTGGCCGGTTGGTCATCGCAGGTGATTTCCCCAAACTGCACTGTTTCGACAGAGCTGAGAAAGTGAAGCTTCCGTGTTTCGCGCGTGGCGTGTGTCAGTCTTTTGTCAAAAGGATGTCAATGGAAACTGCGCTGAAGAGTCACTGAACAAATGAATTGGATTCCCTGAATCTGGATCAAGTCTTGTTCATTGGACCCGCCAAAATGGCGAGTGATGCATGAGAGAACTTGAGCCAGCAGAATCAGCGTACACATCAAAATCCGGCACAAGAGAAGCCTTGTGCGTACAACCCAAAAAAAATGTGCGATTTGACGGTCAGCCCCCACAACATACCCCGTCAATGTGCACTGTCAAAGGTGGAACTTTGACGCTCTTGGCTCTTGATCTCCCACCAGCTGGTGGCATGAAGCCCACTTCGGGTCATCCGACCGACGTCGCAACTCGGTAGCAAGAACTGTGCCTGATGGCTCTTGGCCCAGAGTCCAGATCCTCTGCCAGAAGAGGCCTAGGTCGTTGAAAAAGGCAGAAAAAGGCGAAGGATTGCTGATGGTTGGTCTCAAAAGGCGCTTGTCAATACATTACTCCTCTTCTGAGAGTATGTTCTGCTGTGTTGATACGTACAGTAAAAGGAGAAAGAATGCAAAAGGGCAATACAGTAATTGTTGATGATGAT